TTGCGTAGAGTTGCGATTTGGTCAGAACATGATTTGCCTTTCCTGAATCCAGCTTGTTCTGGTTGGAGTTCTGTATCCAGTGCGTCCTTTATTCTCTCCAGGATGATGCGACTCAGGATTTTACTTGGCGTCGACAGGAGCGTGTTTCCTCGCCAGTTCTTGCAGAGTCCTAAGTCGCCCTTCTTTGGTAGTTTCACCGGGTAACCTTTCCTCAAGTCAGTAGGCACCTTTCCCTCCTTCCAGACCTTGTGCAATAATGGAGTCAGCATATCTGCTGTCGTTTCTGGGTCCGCTTTCAGTGCTTTCGGGGTTATTCCATCTGGTCCATCTGCTTTTCCAGCTTTCAGAAGCTTGATTGCATTCAAGACTTCAGCTTTCGTTGCTGGATTGGTGTCAACTTGCAGTTGTGTACGTGCTGTTGTTGGTATTTTTGGATGGGTTGTAGGTGGTGGTCGGTTCAAGAGTCCTTTGAAATGGTCCGCCCATTGTTTAATCTGTCTTTCTTCTTTGGTAATTGGGTTCCCTTGGCTGTCTTTTATAGGTTTCACTTGTGTTGATCTCTTCCCGAATAGAGACTTGGTTATCTGATATAATGTCCTCAGGTCCCTTTTGCCTGCTGCCTTCTCAGCTTCAGTAGCCAGGTTGTCGTAGAATTGTCTTTTGTCCTTTCTGGCACTCTTCTTCACTTCTTTGTCCAGTGCTGTGTAAGTTGAGCTCAGCGTCTCCTTCTCTTGTCCGTCTTTGCATTGAATCATTTTCTCTTTCACCATTCTTCTCTCCTCTATTAGCTTCCAAGTGTCCGTTGAGAGCCATTCCTTGTCTTGCTTCTTCTTTCTTCCCAGAACCGTTGAACACGTTTCGTTGAAAATCACCCTCAGAGAGTTCCGATGGTCTTCCATGCATGATTCCTCAGTGATGCTTCGTAGTGTTTCCTGCTCTGCTCTGACAGTTGCAGTGAAAATGTCCTGTGTGATTGTGTCCTTCAGCTTTTGCGTGTTGAACTTGCATTGTGGTCTATCCCCAGCTATCTTCGAGGCTTTTAGCTTCACCTTGAATGTCCCTTGTACTAGATAGTGGTCTGAACCCACATCTGCTACTCCCCTCGATGTTGTGTCCAATAGGCTACGTCTCCACTTCCTTGAGATTGAAATGAAGTTTATCTGGTTTTTGGTTTGTCCCTCTGGTGAAATTCATGTCGCTTTGTGCATATCCTTGTGTTTGAACACACTGCCACCAATCACCAAATCACTGAAGGCGCAGAAGTCTGAGAAGAGTTCACCATTGTCGTTCATTTCACTGAGGGCCTCACGACCCATGGTGAGTTCTCTTCCTGTATTGACTCCCCCCAGTACCTTATCTTCGTTTTCTGCCTTGTTTCTCCTCCCTAAAACATGTAGCGTCAATTTAATCACTCCTCTTCGTAGTTGGAGTCAACCTAGAATATCGAAGCTGTGAAATCTGGATCACTGAATTATAATCAAATAAATCGTGGATGAAGAATGTCAGCTATGGGACACAATAAGCCAGACACAAGCACGCAGTAAGATAGAATAAAGTGATGACACCGAAATAATGTATGGCAAGTAATGGACAGATGGAGAATAAGACAGTGAGATTAGATATCAAATCTCGACTGGAATATAAATCACTAGAGTAGCATTATACTCCACACATAGCTTCCGAACTACATTTAGAAAAATTCCATAGCTGAATGTATAAGAACTAACAAAGACAACAATTATTAAATATTCGTAAGCAAAAGATGTGAACATGTGGTGAGAGCCGGCTGCAAGCTAAAAATTTTTGACAGCAATTTACTTCAATGAAAGCCTATGCCCTGCAGTTTTTGATGGACACATATGGACCTTCTGGCAGGATCTCGAGGTTGTTGCGCAGTTGGCTGGTGTTCAAGATTCGTCAGCGATAAAGCTGTTAATTGGAACGCTGCTGGAAGGTCTGGCGAAGGCAGCAAATCAAAGTGTGCGGCTAAACACCAACGACTACGCGCCAGGATCACGCTAACTGCTGAGAAGAACCATACATGGTCACTGTGGAACGAGGTCTCAGATATATACGATCAGAAATGCAAACAAAGAGGAGCGTGGGAACGTCAATGAGTGCCGAAATTCGATACATCAATACAAATTAATGAAACCACCAGCAACTTGAAGATCTAACCAACTTCAGTCGAAAGTCTTTGACGGGAGGAAGAATGTGGTGAGAGCTGACTGCATGCCAAAAATTGCAAACAACAATTTGCTTGAATATTACGTCTCAAATTGGGGTCATGAGGAAAACATTAACAAAGCCTAACCTTGAGGACTTCACCAACCAATCACAGCATACTTAATGTTTACGACGAGAATTTGCAGATATATGGCGTAACTTTCTGCGAAACCGTCAAAAGCAGTACAAAATCACATTCAGAAAGAAAACAACCAATCCGCTGATAATAATATACATAAAAATCTCTAAATATCAGTTCATTTTCTCAATACACTATCTGTTGACTGGCAATTGTCTTTTGTCGTTACAACATATTCCTACAAATGTGACCTAGAAAATAGAGGAATGACAATCATTTGTGAAATTTGTTTCCCTTCCTTTAAATTTTAAGTTCAATATACCGCTTCCTGCTAGAACTGTGAAGTTACAGGAGCGATTGTATTTTTGTTTACAACACTGTATTGCTAAATTCACGCGAAAAACTCAAACAGAGAAATCAAATGAATGCAATAGCGATTTAACCGAAGCTGATGAAACTGATTAAGATGGAGGTTTCAACATAACCTTCTTTCAATTTCAGCTAAGCTCTACTCATTGCTGTCAATTTTGCTACCTAATTCAATATACTTATTAAAAATTTGTGTTCCTGAATTACGACATACAACTTAAAATAACAGTCGAACTTTTAGTGTGAATTCGTTATCGACCACATTCCAGCATGGTTATCATTCAGACTCGTAGTCGATAGACAATATAAAAGTGATTTTGTATAGTCTGTTGTTGACAGTCAAAATGGTTCCCTTTTCTCTAGGAAAATTATGGTTATCTGTTGTCTCATGAAAAAACCATTGCTTACTTGCCCTACAGTTTTTTACGCGGGAGACAGAAAATGCTAATGTGCTCCGTCAACTGATATCTTCGTTTCAAATAATAACAAATAACCAGATTGAAGAACTTCCAGTAAAGAATATTCGCTGGAGTGTACTATGCATAAAAATTAAGATGTTGTTCATAAATTTGTAGCCAATGAACAGATCTTTACACTTAAGAAATAGTGTGGTGTGCTGTTTTATTATTTACAGTGACTACAGTATACTAATTCAATGAGTTTCATTACTCCGATCTAGTGCATTATTGAGTGTTCTTACTGAGTCTATAAATTTGACTTCCATTACTCACCGGTATTGAGAACTATGTAAAACAAAATAGTAGCTATACTTGCAGAGTAAGTTAATACGAAATAAGAATAAAACTTGGGCACTCTGGTAGAGTGTAATTCCATTATGAGTAAATTTTATTTTGATAGATTCTCACAGTGTTATACAGTAATATTTACTGATGGCGTTTCGAGCACAATTTATTGCTCATAATCATACACGACTTCCTAAATTCATTTATATAGTTCCATTGTTTTTCACTTGATTTGATTGGTAGTATTATTTTCCATATTTTGGCTATGAGTGATGATTCATTCCTATTGCATGTGTTGGGTGTAGATTCAATGAACAAAGATTCAGTAATCAACCTCTCTCTCCACCTACCTAGATTACTTTTCAGAATGTTAACCCTCTCCCTCCCTATTGTGTGGTTATGTGTTAATGCATGCATTACAATTGCCGAGCTTTTTTCTAAATTACTTATCTTCTCTGGGTCAATCATTCTTACCTTAGCTAAATTCTTATGTTCTGACAATCTGACTACCCCTGACCTACTAGTTTGACCTATGTAGTTGACCTCGCTCACAGTCATTGCAGGGTATTTTGTAAATTAAATTATTTTGTCTATTGGGTCAACTGGGTACTTAAACCTACAGAGCTTGTCCCTGAGTGAGTTTATAGGTTTAAATGCCACCCTAATTCCTACTTTATTTAGAATCCTACGTAGGGTCTCAGATGTCCCCTCCTTATATGGTATAACTGTAGATGATTTATATTCTCTCTTATTTATGCTATTATCACTAGTTTCACAATTATTTTTATTTTTATTTTGGCGTTTTTCAATCTTCGTAATGAATTTTAGAGGATAATTATTTAACATCAACGCCTCTTCTATCTGTTTTATTTCATCATGTAGGTCTTTTATTGTGCTACTTAGTGCCATTGCTCGGTTTGTTAAACACTTAACTAAGCCTGCCTTAACAGTTAAAGGATGAGATGAGATGAATTGAGCCCTCTACTGAATCCTTGTTCATTGAATCTACACCCAACACATGCAATAGGAATGAATCATCACTCATAGCCAAAATATGGAAAATAATACTACCAATCAAATCAAGTGAAAAACAATGGAACTATATAAATGAATTTAGGAAGTCGTGTGATTACCTTGATATGATTATGAGCAATAAATTGTGCTCGAAACGTCATCAGTAAATATTGCTGTATAACACTGTGAGACTCTATCAAAATAAAAATTTACCCATAAGTTAACACGACTTAAATGTTACAATCAAAGAGAAGATAAGCAAGTCAGCCTATGAATTATGCTCGTAGAAGTACAACCACTCAGACTATCACACTGCACACACATATGACATTAAATTGTAAGCGTTTACAGTGGTGTATAAGAGTTAAGTCGTACAGTCCCCACCTAATAGATTCACATGAATGAAACTGAAAAAGAAGACAATACGGATAGTGACTAGCATTTATTTGGATACCATTAATTGCATACTAAAAGTATAATAATAAAATCACAAATGTCACTCCAGTACAATGCAGTCCAACCTTTGATCGACTAAATCTGCATAAATCACATAAACTGTCTTTTTTCTTCTAATCGTCCTCTTTCTTTTCGTCTTCATCATCTTCGTCATCGTCATCTTCATCCTCTTCTTCCTCTTCCTCTTCCTCATCTTCCTCGTCCTTCTCATTCTCCTCTTCTTCTGCATCCTTCTCTTCTTCTCCGTTCTTCTTCTCTTTCACTTCTTTTGTTGTCTTCACACCCTTCACTTCTTTGGCCTTCTTCGCATTCTCCTCTAAATTCACCTTCTTGATAGTCTTCTCTTCTGTAATCTTCTTCACAACAGTCTCTTCCTTCGCCTTCTTCACATCTTTCTTCTCTTCCACCTTCACTGGTTTATCTACTTTGACATTCTTCACGCTTTTATCCTCTTTGACATTCTTCATTTCCTTTTCTTCTTTCGTCTTCTTCACATCCTTGATTTCGTTCACCTTACTCACGCCTTTCTCTTCTTTCACTTTCTTGGCATCTGTCTCTTCTTTCAGCTTCTTCACTTCCTTCTCTTCTTTCGTCTTCTTCTCATCTTTGATTTCCTTCTCTAATTGTACTTTTTTGACACTCTTCTCTTCTTCCACCTTTTTGACAGCCTCTCCTTCGGTTACGTTCACCACACTTTTGTTTGCCTTGGCTTCCATCTGTACAACAGGCTTCTCAGCAGTTTTGCTTGCATTCGTTGATTTTAAAGTTACTGGAGATAGAAAAACAGATAACAAGAGAAAAAGACACATCTAGACATATATACAAATGGGTTGAGCAATAAAATGAAGATGGGCCTTTGGTGAAATGTGCTTATTATGACGATTGCTAACTGACGGTTTCTTCTTAACAGCTCCAGTCTAGCAGTTAGTCGAAATGAAGATACAATCATTATATGAATGGGTGAACATTAACGAACATCTGGTGAGCTATACTATGAAAACTAAACACTCACAATTAGACAACCTAGTGGTAACTTGATATTAGTATGAAGATATTAGTTGAGATGGAGAGGACTGCAGTGTGTGATTCAAGCTGCAAGTTTAATTCAATCAAGTGTGGATGACAAACAAGAAATGCTGTCATTTGTGGAGTATCAAGACGTACACCCACCTTTCCAGATCCTTTTTTCACAGTCGCGGCCTTATCAGTCGATACAAACAGGTCTACCGACAGTTGAGTTAACAAACTTGACATGCCATGAATCCGACTGATAAATGTAACGAATGTCCATGATGACATTTGTGGTGTGGTACCTACCTAATTGGTCAACATCCAACACATGCCATCTGGGATGATTTTCACTGTCATCCAGAATAAGCGAGGACTTTACGATGTCGAACTATTCTTTTTTTCAGTCAAATTATGAGAACTAGAGTGGGAGCCAGCGTTATCGGAAATATTCTTCTTCACAAACATAACAACAGTGAATAGTGAGATACGAATTATTTCCTCTCCCATTGAAAGACTATATTTGTAATGCACAAACTGGTAGTTGATCTAACATCGTGTATGTTGTGTTTCGTTCCGAAGAATTCTCTTATCATCTCTTCAGAAGGTTTGTCATAACAGACGTAGACAGAATGAGATGGCGGTGAGCAGAGCAGTTATCTGCGAGACTGAACTCCTCAATTGTTCAGTGCTTATCTTGCTCCATTAAACATGTTTTTGTACTATCACTGGATTCCACCACCTACCTCGACGTCACAAACATCTTAACACTTCCCATGCTTTCGATATACGTTAGTCATTCAGCACGATTCATTTTCTGATGACAGTCATAAAGTCATGGTCAGTTGAATTTAGTCATTCTGCTCGATTTTGTGAAACAGGTTTGTAATGGTTGTAATTGGGAATAGTTAACATAATGCGGGAACTTTGTTGATATGCAAATAACACGATTAACTGACACAAAAATGAACAAATCGCCAGTGTGTGTGTGTGACTCACCGTTCTGGTCAATTGGTGGTGAAATTTCCTCAGATTTCTTGACAGGCTTCATTTTGATGAGATGTGGCAGTAGAACACAAGCCATTAGGATGCAGAACATTGAAAATTGTGCCATTCTTGAGAGTCTGAAAATACAGAAGAAAAACATCATGGAATATATATTTGGAATCTGAATGTTGAGAAAATGACTTTTAAATGATGGTTGATGCAAAATGATTAGAGCGGAAATTGATGAAGATATGGAGGGGTGGAGATAAAACTTCTTCACATTTCACATCGAATCTACAATGCACAATGGAGTTTGTGATGACTGGTAAAGCAGTGTGACTGTATGAAACAGCGTTTAGCTGGTGTGATGGATGGGTTGGATAGAGACTCGGCTTGATGAATGTGAGAATGAAATGTGGAAATGTCTTACAAGTATTTTGTGAACCACTGCTGAGTTGAGTAGTGTTCCATACACATAGATGTTTATATATGCACGTAAACGTGACTTAATTGTCAAACTGACAGTTCAGTAGTTAGATTTGTCATATAAATCGATTGTATATATCATTATATGGGCATGATTGTGTAGATCTTGTGATCACAGATCATGAATTAGGAATGATTGACCTCGATGATTAGATTCGCTACCTCAAGTACTATTTCAAAACTGCTTTCATTGCCTACTGACCTATTTTCTTGATGTGCAGTATACTTAAATTGTGAAGCTTTGATTCTCTTTTCAATCAACATCTTCCATGCCTTTGTTTACGTGCTCAACTAAATTCTTGCCTGCTTTTTGCATATGGCGTTTTAGACATTTCAGTGTGTATCAGTTTTAAACGACTTCTGTATTTCCTGATGTTTTTACAGGATTCCTAGTATTCCTTCAAACAGGAGTCGGCCCCGTCTAAACAGCACCGTCCTGTATATAGCTAAATGACGACGGTTTCCATGATCTCATTGTTGATTATCACAGTGAAAATGAGATTCCCCGTAGCATATTGGTGAAGAATGTTTCAATTTTTCTATATTGAAATTTTATTTCCTTTCACATTATCCCTCTACATTTCAATTCGGAAATGTTCAAGTTTCTTATGGCGTTCCATTTTACTGTACTAATCTATCATTTTTTTGTATTATTAGCATTCATTCGTTAGGCAATCCTTCTCCTCTACGGTATCAATTCCAAGTATATATAAAGATTCCAAATTTCATGAACTACAGCGTGAATACGTCACTGTATTCTATGAAGTCAGCTGAACGTGGTGAATTGAAATCGGAACACCATGTCAAACTCTTGTAATTGATTCCTTCAGCTCACAGTGTGGTGGATGATATGTTGATTCCCAGCTTCAGATGAGTCTGAAAAATGAGTGCTTTCTGTATCCATCTTCAGTGATTCTTAAACGTTGTTCTATTAAAACATTCCTCTTCCGTTGACGGAATTCTATCAGCCATCAGCAACACCAAGGACTAGACGCATTGATATGCGTTACTAACAAGTGGGCAGCCGGTGCATCCAATACAGCACTGAAGTAAGTCGCTTAGGATCCCGAATATCAGAGCTGTAGTATTTCTGACTGCAGCACTGTATAATGTATGTTCATATACTCAGAGGAGATTTTGGTTCTTTCATCAGTGCATGTATGTCTTGTTCATGATATATCCGGAGAAGTATGTGGTTTAACTGGAACAATTTCTGCCAATTTCTTCCGACTACATTATCGAAGCCTCCAGCTTGAAGCCATATGTTTTCCTGGGAGCGTAAAGTAATAAAAACATAGAAAAAGAATCTTGTTCGAATATATGTTTGTTAATACCTTTTGTCGACTGAGCAAATTATAAAGATCGGATGAATATTGAAAACTTTATTGTTTAATTGGAGACTTGGGCTTTTGCGAGGTGAAAATGCAGTGTCTCACCGCTTTAAGCCTTCAGTGATTTTTTTGAAAAAAGTTGAGAGAAGCTGAATAATGTACCTTCTGGATAGTATTCCCGACTGAAGTGAAGTAAGGCTATTTAGGCGAATCAAATGAAACGGTTTTGAGTTGGGAAAGGTTCACAAAAATAAGATTGTCGACATAAGGACAAGTGAATACAATCATAGGGAAATCCGTGAGAACGATGAGTCACCCAGACAGACAAAAAGACCGAAAAACTCAGTCTTTTAATCCTCTAGTATACACTGTTCAATTGAATGGCATTACAAATGAATCGGATTATGAATAAATGCACATGGTTCGGGGTTCGATCCCCGGCCGGCGCACTCCTTTACCTCACTAAGCCAGAAATAATGCTGATGAAGATGAAATGTTGGGCATGAGGCTAGCAACCCCATCCTGTAAAATAAACACTGCTACAGAAACTTCAAGACTCTGGCTTGAAGCCTGATATTCCACTGGGAACGTGAAGGAATTAAATTAAATAATAAAAAAATGAATAAATTGAGTGGTATGTAAAAACGGTGGTTTCATTCCACTCCACATAGGTTGGTTGCTGTTAACTTGGCATACTGCTATCTCTTGGATTAAGACATAGTGAAATGTGTATATTGTTTAGTCTTTATGGAAAACGGGAAGTAATCTCCTGTTTGATTCTTCAAACAAACATTCCCGGATACATGTGTATGCGAATATTGAAAATTCCAGCAACCTCTTTTGTTATAGTTAGTGCAAAGGAAGCCTACATGGTTAGAAGAACATTTCATAGTTCACAGAATTTCCTGAAATCAGTAGAGAGGAATCTTGATGAAGTTCTTGTTTGAAGGGATTCAATTTGTCTGCTAAAAGCGATAATAAATAATGACAATAAAAATTAGTGGAAGAAGGATTTTTTGCTACTAGTGGAACATATGGCTTCAAGCTAGGGTTTCAAAGTTTCTGTAGCAGTAGTATTTCTTTTTACGGGATGGGGTTGCTAGGCTCAAGCCTACCCTTGCCTCTTTACCAGTCATATTACTGGCTTATCGAGGTTAAAGAGTGCGTCAGCCGGGGAATGAACCCCGCTACGTCACCCACACAATACTAATAATAATTGAAATTCTTACATTATTAGACACATAAGATTATACGAGAACATGAGTGAACTCTCAGTTCAACAGTTAAAGACCACACACAACAGGGTTTTCTGGTACTTACTCTTACTCAATTGCAAATATACTTGGATAACCATGAGAATGGAAGTATAATAATCTTTCGATGGGGATTACCCATTCAGCTACATGAGATACAAATAAATTAGTAAACTGACAGACCAAAATTCAACTTGATGAGGAAATATCATGCTTTTTAAAGTTAACCGCAAGAGAATAAAGTCGTTTATCGAAATGGCTTATGCAAAACCAAAAAAAGAAAATTCAATATGCTGAAAAATATGACGGAACAAAATAGAAAGAAATCAGTAAAGATGGACGAAACCACATATTTTTTTTCATTTAAGCTCAGTCTCACACCGTATTTTCCGTTCATGTATGAAATTTACAGCATGTGAAATCGTTAGCCTAGATTTCGCAGGCCGACCATTGATATCGGGTGTGTGTCGTAAGCGGTCGATCCCCAGACCATGCGCACGCTCGGCGAGGGTCCTAACCGCTGTACCGCTGACGCACAGTCAATAGCAGCAGAACTGAGAAGGCACTGTTCACTTTATTTTCTATTCGGATTTACCTACAGCCGAGTGATTGTTGACATTCTTGAAAAATACAAACTCAGTAACAGGTAATCAAAATACAGAACATTACCTACTAGACTATTGATTCATAGAATATGTATGAAAGGCTACTTGTGCTAATTGGGACTAAATGATTTTGGTCTACCTATCAGCAACAAACAAAAACGAGAACAAATCACTTTAAAATCATGACAAGAAATCTACTCAAAAGATAAGTAAATACCTTTCAAAATTATGTAGACGTTTTCAGCGGAAGCCACTGTGGAAGAAGGATATGCTTCAAAATTCTTCGATATAGTTGTGGTGGACAGTTAACACTCAGTGTCCAATGTGTATATTTTTTAGAATATGGATGACTTGATTGCTGAGTGGGGTTGACGGCCCAGCAGTTCAGTGGTTTGTACGCAGAGAAAATACTGTTTGGGCTCAGTTGAAAATGCAGTGCAAACTTCATCACAAATATAGTACTGGTGATTACACAGCACAACACTAGAGATTTGTTTCAGTTTCTCATCTGTGTGTGTGTTGACACTATGTCATTGTCAATGTGTACTGCATCAAATAAATAAGCTTTCATTGAATGATATTGTACCACAATTCCAAAGTGACACTGTTTCGGGAATAATAATATGCTAGCCGGAATACAAAAGAGGTGAGTGAAGTGGAGTGAGACGTACTGGACTTATAGACAATGTGTTAAGTCATTATCAGACTAAATCAATTAAGTACGATATATTTTGACACTCATTTTAAGTTTTTCTGTTTAACAGACTCAGTTAGGTGATTGGACTAGTGAAGTCTAACTGGAGTCAAGTTCGTGTTTTCGAAGTGAACGTCGGCCGCATTCCTGGTGATGCAGATAAGCGAAATTCCGGAAACGCATTATTTTCTTTCCACTGGTAACAATGAGTGCATTAAATGTATCTTCTTCTTATTTATTCCCATTATAATTCCATTTAGTTTCTGATGGAACACAGGGCTTCGACACGATATTTCCGTCTCGTCCTGTGTCTTTAAATTCTCTCTCGTTGACTTACCAGCTCTGAGGACGTCCTTATATGATCCATTCCTTGTCATCCTCGTAGCTACGCCTAACTCGCTGTTCCCCATGTAGTCTCCACTCCAGCAGTGGCCTAGCTCGCTATGTCACAAGGGTCTGATTCATCTACACACTCATTGGAAGACTTGTCAGATGACGGGTGGTTAGTTGCTTCGTCCGCACAGTCCACCATTGCTTGTCTTTTGCGTCGGCCATCTCATCTTCATCAGATGATTAAGTGAAGTTAGCTGATAGCGTAAGTCTGCAGCTGCTCAATGAAAATGCTTTCCGTGACGTACTATCCAGGAGAATCGGCTGATTTCACATTACTGTTAAATATTCAAAATTTGTTAAGTGTGCAGACTGTAAAGTGAATCCCATTACTTTTG